GCTGATAAATATATTAACACCACAATTTTATGTAGCTTGCACACTTTAACAGCTTTAACATATGTATAGTGAATATGTTGAAAGTTCAATCCAAGACATGATAACTCAATGAGTAATGCTATTTAGTACACTAAATGAAAAGTACAATTAAATGAATCACATAATTTCACTTTTAATTAAATTAATCACATGATATTACATAAATTGATTTCACTTTTAATTGAATCAATCACACGATGTCCACATAAATTGATGTTCTAGCATTACTGCATATAACACTATTCTAAGTCAATACAAGCTACTAATTAGATAAAAAAAATGAAAAAGTTAGTAATGTTTAAATAAAATTATTATAAAATCAATTTTTATTACAATGCATAACTCTAATTTTTTTATTTTTTTTTTTATACTTATGTTCTCAACTTTAAAAAAAAAAAAAAAATTATCATCATCCTTCTATTAACTTTCACATCTTGTCTATAAAGATGATTTTCATCCAAAATATTTGGTATGAGAGCTAAAAAGACATATTTTTCTCTTGCATTTTTAAATAAACAGAATAAATAACTAATATAAAAGTTAAACAAAATATTTGTCCATCTTTTCAATGCACGTTAGTAAAATATTTAGATAAAAATTGTGATTAAAGATAAAATATATTAATTAATTGAAGGTTAACAATGACTATCCGACTCAAAAAAAGTTGAGGACATAAAAATCAAATGAGCTAATATTGAAAAATAAAACGTGGTGCAGTTATAAAAAGATATTGCAGCCTTGCGGGGATATAGTTACCCTTTTTTAGATTCCAAAAACCAATTTTGCCCATCACAGTGGTTAGAAATTACACCGGCTAAGAATTCATGGAATGGATATTATCGTTATTTCGCACATGACCTTTAATTAATAATGTATGCCCTTGTCTGGCGTCACAGTAGATTTTATAACAAGTTGATGAAATATTGAAAAGTTAATAAAAATTATAATATCATTAGATGTATAATTAAATTTAATTATTGATTTTGATTTGAATTTAAATTTGAATCAATTATTTAAGCTACATCAAATAGGAGCTAAGTAAAGAGAAAAGGAAAAGCAAACAAGGCATAAGACGTTCAAACTACTTCTTATTTATACATATTATATGATTCACAAATATTAATCACGTATCGACACATATTTTAGAAACTCATTCTTTCCCACAAGCATTTACCTGACTTATTCTATGAAAATTAATGTGTGATGAGCCATGTTTGCAGTGAATTGGCTAAATATGCACTTAGATATTACAATCATTATATCCGCTTATTATTTACATATTTTATAAAAAATTTAATTTATAATCTCTTAAATTATAAATTAATCATCAATCAAAAATCTACTTAGACATTATGACACCCCCCCCCCCCCCTTTCTTTTGGTACGGATTAAAATCTATATATTAAATATTAATTTTAACCACTTATGTCATGAGGACCATAACTTTTCAACAATATATTTTATCAACTTTTATTCACATCTATTAAAAAAATCTAATTTTAATTCTTACCAAACAGGGGGCTATAATCAGTGATATGAAACTCTAAAACGATGTGGAATTAGTTGTTGAATATTTTGATGTGTTAAGTGCACGTTTTGTAAAGAGAGAAATAATCTAAATTATTATTTATTTTTTTGAACCCAAGGGATAAGATTATTTCTCAAACATAGCGCTTGTCTGGAAGAAATTTTCGGCCAAATTATTATTGTTGGCAACCACTTTAATTGATTGGTTGTGTCTTGTGTGGGATTCACCTTGAAAAAAAAGGGTCAAAAAAGTACTTTCTTGACTTTAGAAAATCACAACTAGAGAACCTCATATGCGGAGATCGATTGACCAGTTAAAAAAAGTCCATAACTGCAATCAAATAACTCAAAATGTTTTTTTTACATCTTTCCAAAAATTAGAATTATTCTTCCAATAGGCATGCAAAGAAATTCCACATCAAAGTCTATAATAATTATTGGACAAATTAAGTCAAACTTAAATTTGACTAGAAAAGTCCCTAAAAAATAAGCAAACGTTAATAAATAAATAAATAAATAAAAATTCCCAAATTCAAATTAAAATACATATTCCATCTGGCGAGAAGCCAAATATGCGTCTAGTGAAAGTGTGCTTCCCTTCATATGCCATTTATGACCTCTTCATTTAGCCTTCATTAATTTTCATTTCATTATATTTTACTTTTTTCTTTTCTATTTTCAACCACACAATTTTTGATAGAATAATATTATACATAAATCGAAAATTTTTTCTTTTTTTTCAACCACTCATTTAAAAAAAAAAAAAAAAACACTTTCCACCCATAAAATTTTCCACAAAATGAGGGCTTATTTAAGCCCTGTTTGAGCCCTCTTAACTTGAAGAAATACAACCCCTGTTTGAATCTCATTTTTACCTTATTAAAATGAAAAATATGATCGTTATCCATCAGATCAAACCATCATTTTTGAATTTCTATCTCTGGTGTGAAGCCCATAACGACTCTATTTCTCATTTTCATTTTCATTCTCATTCTCATTATAATGCGACTCAAACGGGCTCATAATATAAAATAGTAATTGATGGAGAATATGTGGTTAAGAAAGAAGGAAAGATTTTTTATTTGCGTGTAATATTATTTTAATGAAAAATGTGTGGTTAAAATTGAGTACTTAAGAAAAATAATGGAAAAAAAAAATGTAAAATAAAGGATGACAAACAGGAGCTACTGTCCATGACTATGCCCAGCGTACTTGTAAATGAAGATCTATTGAATTTCACATTTACCGATTAAAAATAAAATTAAATTGAGATCTCTAAGAAGCAGAAGATGTGTTAATCAGCATAAATCCGTAATAGATTATGTTCCTATTCTCGCAACTGCGGTTCCAAAACAAATCAAAAATTACAGCCAATAGGCATAAGAGTTCTATGAACAGTTAAACACTTCTCTCGGAATATGCCTCATCTAAACGACTATAGAAAGTAGAAACTCTACACTTCATGTCGCAAACCAAAAGGCCTTAGACATGCTTTAAACACTTCATGTTACACGAAGGATTATTTTGATGCTACTGAAACCATATGTAGTTCATAAATATATAGAAACATGTCCGAAAGGAAACGACCCACTTATTTCATCAAGGTTATAAATCTAAACCACAGATCATTCTGCTGCTTCTTATTTAAAATGTTGACCTGTGATTAGAACCATACCCATGTCAAGAAACCACTAAAACCTGAATAATGGTTGCCGAATTTGCAAAATGTTCCTCTTCTGAATGCACTACGAGGGAATTTCACAATTTAGATTTGGCAGTTCTGGCCATCCTCAATAAGCCCTCTTGAGTCAGTGATGCAACAAGCTGCAATTACAAATCATTTGTATGCATATTTGGTTCGGCTCAATTTTCAAAAGAATTAATAGCCAAAAAATAGACTAATGCGCTTCACATGAAAAAAGCTTGACTAGAGTAGGCATGGCTGAATTACCTCTCCATTCCTTGTAAACATTTGTCCTGAAACAAACCCTCGTGCACCATGAGCACTGGGACTATAAATCTATGAAACAGTGAGCATTTGAATGTTAGTTCTGAAATACAAATTTGGGAATGAAAGAGAATATGATCTATGGTACTCACCACATATAGCACCCAGTCATCAGCCCTAAAAGGCCTGTGGAACCACATCCTGTACAAGAGAATGGAGATTTCAAGAACTCATGCATGTACTCAAGAAGGGAATAATAGACATGGCCTAACGACTAAAACTTCGACATCATGGATAAGATACTGTCCATTGCTAAACATGCGTAAACATTTTCGTTTGATGTGAAATGAAAAAATCAATGCTACCTGATGCAACGGGATTAAAAATAGACTTTGAATAACTAGGATTTTGTTGAATACCTGTGATTTACTAGGATTTTGATTCTTCGATACGTTGTGTTATATTAGAAGTTGGAGTAAATGTCAGTTATTTATACTATATAAGGGCAATGAGGCCTCAATTTTTACTCTTCTCGTCTTCTCTCTCCCTATTGTTCTTTCTCTTCTCCGTTCTGCATCTCTACCAATGTCCAACCGTCCAAAAACGATGCAGCACTCACTAATTAAATGATCTGTAACTATAACATGGAAACTCAATCAAACCTGCAGAACTTACCATTTAAATCCAGTTAATATGGGCTCAAACTTTTAGAATATCACTATCATGAGCATGGAATAGTTGACCTCCTAAATAAAAAGGCCCCCACATGTTTCATTTATTGATGAAAATTTAGGGAAGAATAATAACCTAAATCCAGCTCTTACATGATATTAGGACAATCTCCTTATAGAGCTCCAAAAAAATGCAATCTATGGTCTAACATGGTGGGTTCAGTTTTAAATTGTTGCCTTCTGTTAATTGCAGATAATTCCTACCAAAGATATAAAATACTCAAAACGTGAAACTGAAGATCTATATTACTGGGAAGGACGTGGATACTTACGAGTGATCCAGGCTCACAGTTGACGACTTCAAACCCTTTTCACGATGAGGATTCATGCTTACTTGAAGAAATATGAGATCTGAAGTATATGCAGCAACACATCTGCTAGAATTCCACATCATAACGTAGAAGATAGATGTTATCCATTCTCAGAAAGAGGAAGAGAATGAAATCTATTTAAAAGATACTAGTAGATAAAAATTAAATTGAGTTTTTTTAGAAAATTATTCTGTAACAGAAGCTGCAGCTCGGAATATCAAAGTTTTGAAACAACATGAAAGGCTGATATAAGCTCACAATAGTGCATATTTATGATTCGAGTCTTGAAGAAAGCCAGTTATCAAAGTTCAAGAGTTCACTGTGACAGGTCATAACATAAAAATAAATATCTAGTTCCAATATACTAACATACAGGGTACCATATGGAATAAGAATTTTCAAGATAGACAAATTTAGAAGCAATAAAATTTTAAAATGATTAATTCATGTCATCATAGTACTTCAAATAAATAGAGATTACTTCATATTCAATGCTTGAGGAGAGTATGCCCAAGAGTAGATTTTATGGGGACAACAAACTGATCGTTCTCAGGAAAACAATACTAAGTCCCTGTTTGAGCACCAAAAAACTCATTTTTTTCTCAAATTCATTTTCAACCGTACATTTTCTCAATAAAATAAACTTTTCAATACTTTTTTACCATAATTCTCTGACGGAATTATTTACACGCTAGTATATATCATAAATCATTGAACTTTTAAAAGACCAATAGACCTCCAAGGCATCAACTGATATACAAAAACTCTTCTTACTGTTGCCGGCAACAAGAAATGCCAGAAAATAAAGACACTAAAGAAGATTCTCTTACCTATGCAAAGCCTGGTCATCAGAAAGTTTTCCTTTCGCTCTAAACCAATACCTTAAGCTGTAGATTATTTGAAAAAATACTATCAATCAGACCCACCATTTTTCTAGCCTTCACAGTGATTCCCCCCTAAATGGAGTCAATGGACAACAAAGAGAATGATAATTAACCTCGCAGGAGACTTAGTCTGATTGGTGGAAGTATTAGGCTCACAGAACCTGATCTCTATGGGCCAGGGTACATATTCCCTACTAGCTACCTTGTTCCGGTATGTCCTGTTGCGTGTTATCATTTGAAATCAACAGAAATTAACGTAAGAGATGAACAGATCATTAGTTAGTATTTTAAACTATCTGAATGAAAACTAAATTTGGATTAGATATATTCTCCCAAACAATAGAACAGGAACTAGTAACAAAAAATGAGTGATTTCAAAGCATATGCATTATAAAAGATAAAAAGTTGTCAATTCCCACATCAAAGATAACGGTGATAGATAACCTTTAGTACAGAAAGTCAATATTTCTAAACATTAAGTTTTCATTAAGAGAAATTTTTCCACATGAAAAATGATTTTTTTGGAAAATATGTGGTTAAAAAGTAGCGAAAAGTTATGGATCCACGTGAAAAATTATTTTTTTGGATATGTGGTTGAAAATGAATTTGGGAAAATTGATTTTTAAAAAATATCCCGAACATACCCTAATTCACATCCAAGAGGACCTTGAAGAAGTCAAAAGTCCAATATCAACACTCGTCATTGCAATGCCAAGCATGAGGGGGTCCACAACATTAAGAAAACTGTGGTACATGCTTTAGTCATGACACTAATCATGAACATTTAAGTGCTACATCAAATGGAAGCTTTCCTAGGTCCTAAAATTTCATGTCTGTAAGGTATCTTCAGATTAATCTGTTTTCCATTTGAAACATAGATAAGGTTATTCAGATCAAGGAGGAGACTACCCTCCTTTTGTCCTATTATTTTTTGGAAAAAAGAAAAAAGAAAAAAGATAGCATGAACAAATATTTCATTTTTGTTTCTGAACCGCTCTTGAACTAAGCTTGCAGACCAGTTTCTGAATACTAAATACATCCAACGAATGTTTACTCTATGTAATAAAATAATAAAGGGGTCTGCAGTGACATCACAAACAAATACATAGTGTTTCCTGGTAACCCATGGTTGGTAGCTGTAGCATGATTAGGCAGTTGGTATTGGCAATAAAAACCTTCACAGAGCATTCAAGTCAATAAGCAAAAATTGAAAGCTATGCTATTATGGGAGGGTGAAGAAATAATATAATTATCAACCACCCTTTGAAACTCAATACATCCAATGCATTTCCACATTTTCGAAAAAGATAAGGGCCTAACCTGGGGAGTCGAGGATCAACGATACGCCTTTCTCTCAATTCTTCCATTGATAAAAGCTAAAGAAATAAGAAATTTAAATAACCTGCCGGGGAAACAACCAAATTATAGGAAATAATACAACCATGTTTTGACTACCTCTTCTGGACAAGGCACGGAAGGCATTGCAACCACCTGGTGAGTGAATCCTCCTTCCTCTTTCTGTAAATTGTTTGAATCAAATGTTAGATGCAGTTTCTATTTTTTTCCAGCATTCACCTATGAGGCGGAAGGAGAAAAATGAAATAAGAAAGACTTAAAAGACGGCATCAGTGGGAAATTATATCAGAAACTACCACATTTTCAATCTTGGCAAACTCCCAAGTGTTAGCATTAAACCTTGCTTAGTTAATTTAGGCATAGATGTAAGGCAGCAAAATTATCTGATTCCATGTGATTTAAGAACTTTAGCAGGCCATCAATTGAATCATAAAACACTTAAGGCCCTATTTGACACCCATAATTTGAAAAACTAAAGAGTTTTGAATAGTATTTTTGGAGAATGTGTGGTAAAAAAGTGACGAAACTTTATTGGTTTGTGTGTAGAATATTTTATTGTGTGAATGTGGGGTGGAGAATGATATTGTAGTAAACAATTTAAATTTTTAAAGGTTATCAAACAAGGGCTAAATGAAGAGATGAGCATGCTGCAAAAGATAAAACAAGAAACCAGTCAAATTTATGAAATTGTAGAGGTAATATCTACAACAATAAATTGAGCTTATTTCCAATAAATTTGGGAAAAGTTACATGACTTCCTTTTTACCACCTTTTCTTGTTCAACCATTATACATAGAAAAAATTTAAAGATCACTAGGCTAGAAAGAGCGATATGATTTCTTGAACTGACATCTACCTATAAATCCAGGCCAGCCCATGATCAAGTATAACAAATCAGAGAACAAATATTCTCTAATCTATGAACTCTTTGAAACTACAATATCTGAGCTTCAAAAGATAGCACATATTTTCTGCAGGATCACAGCTCATTTTATTTCCAAAAACTAAAAAACTCGGGACCCAACTAAAAAGATTTTATACACCAATTAGTTAACGCAGTAAAGCCCAGAACGGCTTTTTACAAATTTCCATAAGCTTTTGGTGGTTGACAATTTACTCTGTGTATATTTTCCCTTCTCCTTTCATTTTCCCGTAACCCAAGAATGCGGATAAGAATATTGTATACATTTGACCAGCAATAAAATACAGAGATAATAGCTCTGCAACTGCATCGGATTTCACTTAAGCCTATTAGTTTGTAATGCAAGATATAAATGTCACTTGTAAGATGCCAGAAAGTTGAGTCTGTTCTGTATTTTAATTTCCAACGCTACCTGAAAAGAAGCAATCAAGGTGAATACAATGTTCCCCTTCTGTATTGCCTCTACCTTTCTGGTAGCAAAGCTTTTCCCATCCCGTATGCGGTGCACTTGATATATAATTGGCACTGTAAACCAGTTGCAATTTCTTGTTTAAGAGCTTT